TTATACAAACATCAAAAGGTGAGACTGCAAAATAAAAAAAATTATGCCCAGCTAAGGAAACAAACTTACAGCCAACTTATAAGTCTAATAAGTAAATTACAATCAAGAAGAGATTAGATCCTGTTGAAAATCAAATGAATGGCAGGGAGTCCATGATCTGAGTGCTGAGGCCAGCACTGAATGCGCAGAAGGGAAGACAAAGAGGTGAGAGTAAGTAAAGACAACGGGTGTGGATAGAAGTCGTTCAAAGAGAAGGAAAACAGCTGTCCCGGAACAGACAACCCAATAAGTGGAATAGAAGACATTATTCCAAGATATGATAGAAGAAATTTTTCCAGAAATGAAGGCAAAAGTGGATGCGTCAATTGAAAGCGCACATGCATACCAGGAAAGCTTGCTATAAAGTGATTATGGGATGCACCCTGGTTGCTCTTACGCGTCAAGGTTAAAGAATTGATCGTGTGAGCATACAAGCAGAAAAAAGCAAATAACTTACAAGGGGGGGGGGGGGATCTGTTCATCTCTGACGTCACAGAATCATTCCAGGAGAGAAGACCACGGCACGATTTCTTACTTAGCCAAGTGATCCTTCGAGAAGGCAAGAGGCAGACGTTCCCAAATGTTAAAGAATCCAGGAATCTAGAACCCATGAATCCCTCTCGAAGGAAACGTCGGACAAGAAACCCAGCCAAACAACAGAGGAGCCCGGGTGAAGAACGCTGGTTAGGGGAACCTCGGCAGAGGGTGGGGGTGGCAACGCGGGCACCCGCAGCGAGGGCCGGACGGATGGGACTGCGGTCTCCACCCTGCTGACAGTGAAACCCGTGAACCTTGGTGGCTTCCGCACCCAGCTGTGGGGGGTCAGCCTCACCGGGCTGGCAGCGTTTGCCGGGTCTGCATCACAGGAGTTTCACCCCAATAACCTGTCGCACTTCTGTCTATTCCAAGCTGGCACACAGAGCGAAGCAAAATGATATAGATAACAAAACCAGGTAGATTGAGAAAGGAGGGGAGTCAAGTAAGAGAGCTCTTCACCACGTCTTTTATACGGGGAGTTAAGACACACTGCAAAGCCGGGCACAGTGGCTCACCCCTGTAATCCCAGCACTCTGGGAGGCCGAGGCGGAAGGATCACTAGGAGTTCGAGACCAGCCTGAACAAGAGTGAGACTCCACCTCTACTAAAAATAGAAAGAAAATTAGCCGGGCATGGTGGTGCATGCCTGTAGTCCCAGCTACTCGGGAGGCTGAGGGAGGAGGATCGCTTGAGCCCAGGAGTTTGAGGTTGCTGTGAGCTAGGCTGATGCCATGGCACTCTAGCCAGGGCAGCAGAGTGAGACTCTGCCTAAAAAAAAAAAAAAAAAGAAAGAAAGAAAAACGAAAAAGAAAACACTGCAAAAAATTAAATGTGATGAAAAAACAACCTACTGACTCAACTGCCTAATGCTTTTTAAAATCTTTTTTCTTAACCTAAATAGGATCTTTATAGACTAATATCTCTTATGATAAGGAAATTTATCTAATGTCAGCTATTTCATCAGATTTTTCCTTCTTTTAAACTCAAATAAAATTAAAATTTAATATTTTTAACCATGTAAAATATCATGCTACTTTTATTAAAATAACTTTTCCAGATATATATGTATGTACATATATATTCATCTATTTTTCTATCTAGTCATGGAAATATGGCATGATGGTCACCAAATGTCAACTCTATTTGTTCCTGGGTAATGAGTGATTTTTTGGTTTCATGTTTGTACTCCTCTGTATTGCTTTAGTTTTTCTAATGAGCATGTAAAACTTTTATTAAAATAATGAAGCCATTATTTTAAAATAATAATGACAATGTATAGCTTACATTTAAAAGTACACGTATTAACTAATAACCAGTTGAATTATTGTACATTAAAATAAAATTAAATAATTGTTTACATAAAATACATACAAAATATGATTAGACTAATTAGTTCAGCAAGGTTTTGGCTGTATACAAATATAAACTGTATTTCTATACACCAGCAAACACTTTCAGTCAATTAGAAATGAGAAAGATGGCTTTTATAATAATAATCAAAACCAAAAGGTATCCAGAAATTATTCTAATTAGAAATGGGTAAAATCTTTACGCATTGACGTTTATTGAGTTCTAGAATTATTAAACTCTACTGAAATACATTGAAGAATAACTAAGTAAATGGAGAGATATCCCATGTTCATAGATATGAACACTCAGCATCATAAACATGTCCCTCCTCTCCCAAAGGAGGGTTTATAATTCCAATCAAAATTTCAAATGTGGTTTTTTTGTGGCAATAGAAATGCTAATTCTAAAATGTATATGGAGAAAAAAAGGTCAAGAATAGATTAGGTACTCTTGGAGAATAAGTTAGAGATTTATTCTGATATGAAAGCTTATTCATAAAGTAAGAGCAAATAAGATAGTGTGTTATTGGTGCAGAGACAGACAAAATGACCAGTGGATCAGAACAGAGAGGCTAGAAATAGTCCATCACACATTTGGAGCTTTGGGATAGTACAGAGGCTGCCCTGCAGATCAGTGAGGAGAGCTGGAACGGTACCTTCTGTACCACGAGTTAATGTAACAGTGTGCCAATGTTACTGGCATGCCAATTTGTGTACTGTGTGCTACTTGTTCCTGGCACACAATTAGCAAATGGTACCAACACAAACAGCTACCCATGTAAGGGGAAATGAAATTAGATCCCTACTTCAAACCATAAACAAAAATCAATTCTAAATGGATTAAAAGACCTAATTGGGAAAAGCAAAACAAAACAAAAGAAACTTATTTTTTTCTCTTTTTTTAATTAAAAAAATTTTTTTTTTCTGCTCTAGTTTCTTGCTGAGGAAAAAGAAACTTTTAGAAGAAAGTGTTAAGACAATATATTTTTGATCTTAGTGTAAGGAAAGATTTCTTAAGACACAAAAACTATTAAATGCAAAATAAAATAAAAAATTAGTAAGTTTTAAGTCATTACAGTCAGCCATTTATGTTCACCAAAAGCCACCATAAAAAATATAGAAAGAAAAGCCACAAACTGGGATGTAATGTTTGAAACACATATAAAGAACAAAGAATTAGTAGCTAAAATATATAAAGAACTCCTTCAAATCAATAAGAAAAAGAAATCCAATTAAAAATGAGCAAAACACATAAATAGGCCTGTCAAAGAAGAAGCACAAATGCCAAAACATTTATAAAATGGGGTTTGATATCATCAGTAATCACAAAAGAATACAAAATTAAGATCACTGATAAGCTATCATCTTACACTTTATCGGCGAAAATTAAGAAGTCTGACCACACCCGGTGTTGGATAGCATACAGTTAAACAGAAACTCTTACATCGCTAGTAGGAGTATGAATTGATACAGATACTTTGCAAAACAATTTGGCATTGTTATTTGAAGTTGAACATTAGCATAATTAGTGACCCAACAATACCACTGCTTGGAATATATCCATAGGAGAAACTAACCCAAACATCCCTCACCGTGGAACACTATGTGGCAATGAAGGTAAATAAACAGTAGCCACATGAAGCAACATATTTTATATAGCCCAAAGGCAAGTAAAATTCATAATATATAGTTAGGTGTAAATACAGGAGTGAGTTTTGTAAGTCAGCATATACAAGAAATTGAATTAGAGTCGTAGTTATCTCTGGGAGGGGCAGGGAGCGAATAGGTGGTCGCAGGCTACTGGCTTACGAGTTGTCGATCATTCTGTTTGCAATCTAAATGTATGCTTCACATACTCTTTTTCCACTGCTCATGCATTGTAAAAGACGATAAACAAAAAGTTTAATTAAGAAGAAACCAAAACACAAGCGGTCCAGTCGGGTCCCAGAGGTGCTGAGTGGTGGAGCCCAGAGTCCTCTCTCCCACAACACACACCGTCCCACCCCCCGCGCCCGGCCCCCGCCCCACCCTTACTGAGCTCTCGGTGGGAGAGCGCGCCATGGACTGGGAAGATGGAATCGCATCAGGGCCACACAGCTGCTGTGTTAGTGGTCGCAGGCCAAACTAGCAGAAGTGAAAGAGGAAGACGAACAGAGATATCAATAATAAAAATGATTGCAACTCGAGCCCCAGAAAGTGCTCACTGACCTGGCATCGGAGACGCCTCGTTGGTAATGATGGGTCGAAAGTGCACACCTGTGTGCGACCCAGCTGTTTGATTTGGGGAGGAAAAAAAAATCTTCATTTTTTCTAAATATTTAAGGCACCAACTCCCAGAGTCCTTTCAGGAGAACACCGCGAGTGAAGGCAGCCATAGACAAGAGCACGTGTCCCAGACTCCCAAGTGGAGCCTGGGTGGGGTCAGCCTCTGCTCGGGTCGGGCGGGAACTTTGCAAAGACCATCCCAGACCACTACACCCCTCCGTCTCTGACTTTACTCGCGCCCCCACCTCTGGGGCTGGGATCCTGGACCTATAGCACTTCATCACCTCATTTCCTTAAAGATCAACTCTTTTTTGATTATCCAAGTAACGAACGCCTACCAGAGAAAATACGGAAATTACAAATAAGCATAAAGACCAAAGAAGTATAAGCCACAGGTAATCCCCAACCCTTATAAATAATCAACAGCTTTATCAATTGGATGCATTTCCCTCTAGTCTTCTTTTCTGTGTACATGTATCTGTGGATTTATGTGTGTGCTTGGGTAGAAATTTTTCTACTTAACCAAGATTTTGTATATACAGTCCCTGAGTACTTTCCGACTGATTAAAGACAGCAGCGATCCCTCCTCACTAGAAAGATAACGTTTTTGCCTTTCTTTTCTTACTCTGGGACCACGTCAGTTGTCCCCTACACCAGGACTGGGGTGGTAATGACCTCACGAGGCCCTTTGTGACTTGCCCTGTTTCTCCCATCTATCGCAGTTCTTCAGACCAGAGGCCACCCTGAGCCAGGCGTGCCTGGACGGGCCCTCTCAGGGGAGAAAGCAGCCGGCGAGGGGAGGGGACTCACAGCGATAATGGCAGCAATTCGCGTGCGTCCAGTGGTCTGAGCGACGTGATCCTCTGTCCTGCTGAAACACAACCGATACTCCTGCAGAAACGAAAGGGGAGAGTGGTACAGCCGTTAATCCGCTGGCTTTTTGACTTGGACTGCCAGAAATGAAAGCCCCGCCTTCAAATTCTCTGAGTTTCCTCCTCATGAATAAATTGGGGATAATAAAAGTACATGGCTGCTATGGTGTGAGTGTGGCCCTAAATAAAAGCCACGTCTTGGAAACGCAATTCCCAGTGCAGCAGTGTTCAGAGGTGGGGCCTTCCGGGAGGTGTTTAGGTCCTGGGGCCTCTGCCCCCATGACGGACTCATGCCGCTGGCCAAGGGCTGGACGCGGCATCCTCCCTCGGGAAGGCTTCGCGCTCACGGCACCGTCTTGGGAGCAGACAGCAGCCCTCCGCAGGTGCCGGCGCCTTGATCTTGGACTTCCCAGCCTCTAGAACCGTGAGAAATAAATTTCTGTTACAGCAGCACAGATGAACCGAGACACTGGCCTGTGTGGTCACAACACAGCGGTGAAAAGATTCAACACACAGAAAGCACTTAGCTGAGTTCCAGGCATATAATGAGTGTTGAATAAATGCCACTACTAAGGGATTAGCATTGTGGTCATTGTTGGTAATGACGATGGTGGTGATGATGGCAATGATGACAACATAAGAAATACTTTAATCCACCTTTGGAACTAAAGTTATCACTTATATACAATAAAATGGACTCAGGTCTCCAGATGAGTCTGGATAAATGTGCACATTTGAGTAACCAGGTGCAGAATATTTCCATCACCCTGAAAAGTTCCCTTAGACCCATTTTCGGCCCACTGCTTCCTCACCTTGCGGTGACAGCCTCAGACAACGATGGCACGTTAGACTGGTCATTACACAGTAGGTCTGTCTTTTCAGGGACTCACACAAAGAATTCCATTGTATCCTTACTGTGGCCTGTGAGCTGCATGTCTTTGTATTTTCGCGGCTGCGCAAAGGTACCTAGCACACACCTTATTATATCACCACCTCCAAGTGGTGCCACTTCACACGTAAGAACTTCACTTCCATTCCCAACTGTTATGCTATTGTTTCACACATCTAACTTACACATATCTCATAAACCCCAAAATACATTGTTACAACTTTCGTTCAAGGAGCCAGCTATCTTTTAAGGAGACTGAAATAATAAGAAGATATTTTCTATATTTAGCCGCGGAGTTGCTATTTCTGGTGTTCGCTATTCCTTTCAGTTGAGCCGTATTTCCATCTGGCATCACTTTCATTCTCCCTAAAGGACTTCCTTTAACATTTCCTGTAGTGCCAGTCACTGATGACAAATTCTTCTAGATTTTGTGTGTTGGAAATCAACTTTATTTCCCCTTCACATTTGCTAGATGTCTTCTCCAGGCATAGAACAGTAGGCTGAGCGCCTTTTCTTTACAGATGCTGCTCCACTGGCTTGCTTTTCTTTTCAGTGTTTTCTTTACAGATGTTTCCCCTCTGTCTTCTTACACTGTCTCCAATAAGAAATACGCTGTCACCTTTATCTCTGTTCCTCTACACATTCCACATCTTTTTTCCTCCGGCCCTTTATACTACTTTCTTTTTATTGGTTTTGGTCAACTTGATTATGATATATCTTGATGTAGTTTTTATCACACTTGTTGTCCTTGAGGTTTATTGAGCTTCTTGGATCTACTGTAGGTTGACAGTTTTCACAGAAATTGGAAAATTCGGGACCATTATTTTGTGAAATGTCTTTCCTAGCTCCCCTCTGCTCCCATTTTCAAGTCTTCCAGTTGTATTTATATGAGGCCACTGGAAGTTTTCCCATAGATTACAGACGCTCTGTTGGGCACTTTTATTTTTATTCTTTTTTTTTTTTCCTCTGTGTTTCATTGTGGACAGTTCTTATTGCTATGTCTTTAAGTTATTTAATCTTTTCTTCTGTGATGTCTAATCTCCTGTTAATCCAATCCAGTGTATTTTTCATCTCATACATTGTAGTTTTCATCTCCAGAAGTTTAATTTCGGTCATTTATATATCTTCCATGTCTCTACTTAGCTTTTTTAACACGTAAAATGCAGTTATAATAACCATGTTAATGTTCTTGTCTGCCAAATCTGACACCTGTGCCAATTCTGGGTCCATTTTGATTGATGGATTGATTATTCTTCTCATGCTGGGTCATATTTTCCTGCTTCTTGGTGTGTTCTGGAAATCCGTGACTGAAGGCCAGACAGTGTGAATTTGACCTTGGGGGGTGTTGGGGTATTTTTATTTGTTCCTATAAATATTCTTGAGCTTTCTTGGCATAACTTGAGGTTGACATTAAGTTAACTTGGAAACAGTTGATCCTTTCAGGTCTTGTTTTTAAGATTTACTAGGTGGGTCTGGAACAGTGCTCAGTCTACATCAAATTACTCCCCACTCCTGGGGAAAGGCTTTCCTGAGAATCAAACCAATGCCCATGAGTGATGAGTTTTCCAGACGGGCGTTATCCCTGGCCCTGTACAAGGGCCTTTGGATTATTTTCCCCCCAACTTCAGGTGATTTCCTCATCTGTGCTGGCTGATCAGTGTTCTGCTTAATCCTGAAGAAGAAACTTCTGTAATTCTCTGAAGTTCATTCTGTGTAGTTCCCACCTCCCCAGTGTTTGGCCCTGCAAAGTCCAGCCACCTGGGAGTCCTTGGGCCCTCACCTCCTGTCCTCAACTTGGCAAGCAGTCTGGCCCCACCTGGGCTCCCCTTCTTTGTGCCATAGCCTGGAACTCTGCAGAACCAGTAAGTAATTCAGCGAGGCCCTAGGGCTCACTCGATCACCTCCCATTTTTCTTAGGGACCTATGCCCTTTGCTGCCCAATGTCCAGGGCCTTGAAACTGTTGTGCCATCTCCTTGCTTGATTTTTCATAAAAAAAATTTTTTTAGTTGTTTCAGGCAGGAGGATAAATCCAGTCTCTGAGACTCTACCTTGTGTGGGAGCAGAAGTATCAAAAGAAATATTTTTATCCGCTTTGGGGATCAAAGGTATAATTGGTTTTGGAACATGCATTTAATTACTTTTTTATTTATAATTGACACGTAATAATTATACATATTTGTGGAGCACAGTTTGATGTCAGCCCATTTTAAGTCTCCAGAAAATTTTTTCCAATATTAATGGGATCTTTGGCACCACAGTACTGAGTTTTAAAAGTTCTTTATACATTCAAGACAAAAGATTTTTAAAGATATGTGTGATGAGTATTTTCTTCTGTTCTTTCTCTTGTCTTGTCATTTTCTTAATGGTGTGTTCTACCATAAACTTGAAGAGCAAGCTTATGATTTTTATGAATTTCAAATTAATTTTCTTTTTACTATTAGTATGTCTGTATCTTACCAAAGAAATCTTTGCCTACTCCAAGGTCACAAGATTTTTTTCAATATTTTCTTCCAGGCGTCTTATTCTTCCAGATTTTAGATATCACTCTATGGTCCACTTGAAGGTAACTGTTTTTATGTGGCATACACATCAAGTTTTATATTTTTTCTAAATCGCTTTCTAGCCTCAGCAGTAGTTGTTGAACTTTGAACCTCCCCATTGAATCTATTTTTATCAAAACTCAATTTACCACAAATGCCTGGTCTGTTTCTAGAAGCTTTATTCTGTTCCATGCCTCCATATGTCTATCTTTGTGCCAATACTACACAATCCTGATTTCTGTAGCTTTATAGGAAATTTTGAAATCAGGAAGTTGAAGTCTTCCAACATTGCTATTCTTACTCAAAATAACTTTGACCAGTTTAGGTCCTCTGTATCTCCATATAAGTTTTAGAATCAGCTTATCAATTTTTACCCCAAAACAAACACATTAGGGGATTCATTGTCATTTCATTGAATTTATAAATTAATTTGATGATAATGGACATCTTAACATTATCGAGTCTTCCAGCGCACAAACACGGTATATATTTTTATTTATTTATGTCTTTGATTTCACTCTGAAGTATATTATTTTTAGTGCCCTTGCATATTTTGTTGAATTTTCCCTAATCATTCCAATTTTTTCTTGTGCTATTATAAATAGTTGTTAGTTTATAGAAATGTTATAGGTATCCTAAAATCCTGCTAAACTCATCTACTAGTTATAGCAGCTTTTTAAATTAGACTCCTTAGGATTTTCTTCGATCTGTCATCTTTGAATAAAGATGGTTTTATTTCATTTTTTTCTATCTGTATGCCTTTCATTTTTTATTGCCCTTATTAAACTGGCTACGAATTCCAATAAAATATTGAATGAAAGTGGTTAGCACGGACAGCTTTGCCACGTTCCTCATTTTTAAGAGGAAAGCGTTCAGTCTGTTACCATTAAGCATGACATTGGCTATAGGTTTCTCAGGGATGTCCCTTATTAAACTGAGGAAATTTTCTTCTACTTTAGTTTACCAGGAGTTTTTATCGTGAATGGGTATTGTATTTTGTCAAATACTTTTTCTGAAACTATTGAAATGATCATATGGGGTTTTCTTCTTTTGTTCTGTGAATGGTGAATTAATCAACTTTTTTGCAATATTAAATCAACCTTACATCTCTGGGCTATTCCCACTTGCTCATAGTGCATTATCCTTTTAATATAGTGCCAGATTTGATTTGAAAATATTTTATGAAGGATTTTTTTTTCTAAGTTCATCAGGGATATTGGTCTTTAGTCTTCTTTTCCTATAAAGATGTCATCTGGGTTTGGTATTGAGCTAATGCTAGTTTTATAAAATGAGTTATAAAGTTTTTCCATCCTACTCTATTTTTCTGAAAGGGCTTATGTAGGATTGATATTAATTATTAATTAAATGTTCGTCCATAATTGTAATTTTTAGTGGAAAAGTACGTTATTATAAATTTAATTTCAGTAGCAGATATTGAGATACTCAGTTGCTTTATTTCTTTTTACACCAGTTTTGGTCCTTTGTATCTTTCAAGAAATACATGAGTTTCATCTAAGCTGTAGAATTTGTGTCCTGAAGCTGTTTGTTGTATTGCCTTATTCTTTATTGTCTGTAGAACTCCTAAGGGA